CCCAGACATGAAGGATGGGCATGTTTCCCAAGGGTACCCTTGCATCCTTGCGCCTTCGGCCCATCCTAGGCGACCTTCGCTTGCCAGCCTCGTTCGTAAATCGTTCGCATGGGCCTCCAAGGCCCTTGCTTCCTTACCGCGCATCCAGGTGATACGGGTCGACTGTGGCGTTAAGTCGAGCATGTTCCTCTACAGGAGGAATCATCAAACATAGTAAACTAGTCTAACAATCACCAGTTGGCCATGCTGTTCCGACTACATCTGGCTAGTTTGGAGTATCGTCTGATTGTTTTCACTACGAATGACAAAGGACGGGAGTCGTGGTTCGAAATGGCCAAGTTGCTGGAGGTATGGCGCAAATGTGAAGACGAGCACGTAAGCCGCATGTGGCGCTGATCCGTTTCTGTTCTTTGGCGGCGCGCAGAGGGGGGTAGGGGGAGGGGGGAAGGCTTCTTAAAAGCACCCTGCTTCTTAGAAGGCCTCGGCCTTGAGTCTATAGAGAAGGCCCGCGCCTTCTAAGAAGCAGGTGCTTCTAAGAAGCCTTCCCCCCTCCCCCTACCCCCCTCTGCGCGCCGCCAAGTTCTCCCGAAGCCTCACATGCTTCCCACGGCCCGGCCTCCCTGGAGGCCGGCGCGTGTGGGGCGCCCGCCGCCCGAGTTCGGGTCGCCCCCCCCTGGGCGGCGGCAGTCTCGCTCGCTCGCTCGCTCCAACACCCGCCCGTAGGGGGACACGTCAGGAGGTTAAAGAACGAGACACGCGGACACAGCGAACCGTCGACCCCCCAGAAGATATATTGGAAGATGTGGGAAGGGGGGGGGGCAGACAAAAGCCCTGGAAGCATGGGAAAATTGGGGGGGGAATCTTGCTACCTTAAAGTCGGGCGTGTCCCCTTACAGGGGGATTTTCGACGAAAAGTAAAACATACCCCACAAATAATCAAAAAATAATGTAGAACTAGTCTGGGGACTGTTTTTTGAGTATTGTTTGACCTTTTTAGATTATTTTTTGTTTTTCGTCGAAAATCCCCCTGTAGGGGGACACGCCCGACATAACGCTGCCTCTATTTCACTGCGTGCCCCAGGGCCTCGTGGAGGGGGAGGAGGACAAGGAGGAGGAGGAGGAGGAGGAGGAGGAGGCCCGCTGGCGCCGTCCCGGGCGCGATGCGGCAGGAAGTACCACCGGGTCGTCTGCGCCGGCCTCTGGCGCGTAAGCTGCCCGCGCGAGGCTCGAAGGATCGGGGGCGGCAAACAGTCTCGGGGGTGGACAGAACCCCCACCCTGACACGCCGAGTAGTGAATTGTCCGTTTTCGGTTCTCGAGAGGGCGCCGCGGCCGTCATTTTCCAGGCTGGCGCCCGCCAGGTTTGGACCCGAGGTCGTTTTCACTAAACCACGTTTTGCTAAAGGGGGGTCTGTCCATCCCCGAGAGTCAAGCAGTGGCGAAGCGTCCTGGCGTGCCTATAGTCCTACCAAACAGTGTTCTAAGAACCCTCTGTGGTTCCCACGAGATGTTCTCAGGACATTTCTGGTCTGGGCTGTCCTGTCTTAGCACATCGGGTTTTTGTTCTAAGAACACTGTTTGGGTTATAAGAACATCTCGTTGTAGGACTATAGGAATGCCGGGACGGTCGGTCCCTGCTCAAAAGAGGGGGGTGATGACTAGGGGGGTGGATATCATGGTGGGGGCCAGGATATTTCCCCACATTTCATGGCGTCCTTCTTATTTCATTACGTCCCTGGCCCCCCCGCTGGGTCGCGCACATGCCGCCGGTCATGATTTGCACCCTCCCTGTTGGACACCCCCCTCTTGGCCGCTCCCGCAAGAAGAAGAAGAAAAAGAAGAAGTTGCATAAGCAGAAACTTCTGGCGCGCGGACTGCCAAAAGATCATGCTCGTTGACCGTTGCTAAAATCAGGGCTTGCCTCTGTAGGGGTCCCAGCGGATCCATATGGTTCAGTGAGGTTCGTCGCCGATTTCGGTGGCCGGCCTGGGTGCCTGGGTGCCTGGGGGGGCCCGGGGGTGTCCAGGGGTGCCCAGGGGTGCCCGGGTGCCAGGTAGCCCTATAGCCTTCTAGCCCTATAGCCTTATAGCCTTCTAGCCCTATAGCCTTATAGCCAAATAGCCCTCTAGCCCTATAGCCCTAATAGCCTAGCCCTATAGCCCTATAGCCCTACAGCCCTATAGCCCTATAGACTTTAGCTTTATAGCCCGAAGTCCTAGAGCCCTAGAGCCCTAGAGCCCACAGCCATATAGCCCTATATCCCCAGAGCCTTCTAGCCATATAGCCCTATAATAGCCCCATAGCCTTATAGCCCTAAAAATATTCAGATTGTTTTTTGTCTCCAATATGGCGTGCCGCGCCAGCGGCCCGCGTAAGCGGCCGCGTAAGGTCGCCGTGCCATCTTGCGTAAGACCCGTTTTGGATCGTCGGCCACATGTGGTCGGGAAGCTTGGCTTAGCACGTCGCGCTGCCAGTTCTTCAGAGGAGGGAGAGGTACCAATACAGTCGTACCGAGGCATAAGGTCGAGATCGCTTCGGGGAGGGTGCCCTGGTGTTCTTCGTGTTTGTTGGATGTTCTTTGCACGCTAGAGAGGGTGGTACCCTTGGGTGTTCTGTGCGTTTTGGCCGGCGGAGGGTCTCTTGTTCTTGAGGGATGTTCTGATGGCCAACGCCCGACTGCAATTCCAGTTACATTTGCCTCGGCTTCCCCATTTTGGGTCTTCCTGGGAGGCCCTCGTCGCCACCGCTGGATTCGCCTCGAAACCCTGGTCAGAACGCACCCCAGGAGAGGTCCGGGGGGCAGAGGTATCGGTACATGTTGGTTTCCTCAAGTTCTGGCACCATGCTTCGGCGCGACATGCTATCCACCTCCCAGTCCGCAAACGTCAACGTCCCGTCTTTGTCCAGCCTCCCGCCCTGCGGAGCGAATCGACACGCTATCCGCGTGTCGGCGGGGCCGCCGCCGCGACACGCTGAGCATATGCTCTTGACCGTACACTTTTCCGCCGTCGGGGACGCAGCAACGACAGGGGCGTAGGCATAAGGGGGGTTGCATCGGCCTCGACTGGCCGACACATCGTCGATATCAGGGCACGCTGCCCAACTCATGTATGTTCCGAAATGGCCGCGTTCTTGCTTTACTTTGGCAGGGATGGCGAAGGGCTGGTTCGGAACCGGCTGGGCTGGACCTAAACGGTGTTTGAACGATTTCGTGGGCCGTTTTCGTTTCGACTTCGTTTTGCGGTAGAGGTGGAATGAAGACAAAACGAGGGAAAACGAAAAAAACGAAAACGAAAAACACCGTTTAGGTTCAGCCCTGGGACCCGGCGCTTCACATGCTGCAGCGTTTTTATGGCGCCTGCCCACCACGAAGTGCAGTTGGCGAAGGGTTGCTGTCGCGGCGCCGAGCGATCCAAGTGGTGTAGTGAAGGTCGCCACAACGGCGATGATGATGTGGACAGGGCTCGAGCTCAACGGTTTTTGTTGGGGGGGAAATTTCGCGGGACTTCTTCGCCTTTGGTTTGCAGACACGCTGGAACGAAAGCCGAATTGGGGATCACGAGAACATGACGACACGGAACACCTTGTGCAGTTCGAGCCTTGGATGTGGAGATAGGGAGGAGGGGATGAAGCGGAGAGGGCGGAGAGAGGAGGAGCGGATGCGGAGGGATGCTGGTGAACAAGATGAGACGGATAGTTATGACAAGGACGAGGGGGGTCAGGATCCGTGGGGGACACGATCCGTGTGATGAGTGCGCCGGAATGGGCGGGGGTACCTTTCTCCGTTCCTCCTCACTCCGCCTCCCCCCCCCCCGCCTGATCTTCTCTCATCCTTCCCTCCGCCTGTGTTCTCGCTCCTCCACCCTCCCTCGCCCGTACTCGTTACTCTCTCCTCTGCCCTGAGTTTGCGAAAGAGACCCGGTTCTATTTGCGAGCCCAGCCTGGTTCCACCAGGATCTTTCTTGAGTTCCCCCTCCCTGGTATCTCTGAGTTTTGGAGCTCCTCGGATTCGTTCGGCCCCTTGCATTGTATGACATTGATTTGTATCAGCCTGCGTCGCATGTTCATTGGAATTGCTTCGTGTTTAACATTGTATTTGTTTGCGGTGCTTTGCTTTCCCTTGAACTGTACTGCATCGTTTTGACTTGCGTTTGCGTTGCCTAGTTCTGGTGTGAACCCTTTGTGTTTCATTGCCATCGCACCCATGGTCCATGGCATCGCGTTGCATTGCATTGACATTGCATTGACATTGCATTGATTGCATTCGATTCACTGATTTGCATTTCTTCTCATTGAGTCGTGCGCACTTGCCGGTGATTCGTCTATACGCGGCCCACGTTGCCGATATTTCTTCATGTCACGTCCAAGCCATATCTGGGTAACCATTCAGGTTGAGCTGTGAGCTTCTCAATGCCTGGGGCATGCTAGAGCCTGAGCGGTCGCGAAGCGCGCGTGATTCTAGTGTTCATTTACATGTAATCGCCGCCTCGCATCCCCGGTGCGTTCACGAGGGGTGAATACTCGTCGTGTGCGGAAGTCATATCACGGCCAGGGCACATGACTTACCCCAGGTTCCATGGCTTCCTCGTCTTCTTTCAATGCGCTCTCCATGCTCCCCCCCGTCCGCGCAAATGCCTCCGATCATGATGCGCTACCCCCCCCTCTTCCAGGCCCCCCTGTTTGGCGCCCCCGATGCTCGGGATCAAGAGGCGGACCCGCAGAGAGTGTCGCGACTTCAGGGGATTTGTTGCTGCACAGAGCGAATCACTGCAGTGGGGGCCCATGCCAAGAAACACCCGGCTTGCCTCCAGGGTGCCCCGGGTTTCTTGGGTCTCGACGGTGACGGCTTTTCTATGGAAAGCGTGACGCTCCCACACCGAGCATCAGTGGACGCCCTGGGGTCTCAGGGTTGGGCTCCTTGTGGAAGGTTTCTTGTGGACGAGCTCCTATTGTAGATTCGGCGGAGGAGGAGGAGGAGGAGGAGGAGGAGGAAGAGTCCGTAGCCATTTTGGCTCAAGTTGAAACCACGGAGCCCTCGGTGGCTTCAGCTTGTTCGCAGCCGAGAGGGCTGGCTCAGACTTCGGGCTAGGGCCCACGGCTTCTTTTCACTAGACCTGCTCGGATCCACCTCAGAGCGCGCTGTTTGCAGAGAGCTGGCTCCAATGCCCGCGACCCCGCCCGATGAACGAAATGTGCGTGCTAAGTCTGGCGAGGCTGCTGATGTTTCTGAATTGGTGGAGCTGCGGAGGCACGTGGACTCTACTAAGGCTGAGGTACTGCAAACCATCGCTGGCGTTCAGAGCTCTCTTTCCTCGTTGGCTACCCAGTTCGCCAAGGGCTGGACCTCGGTGGAAGCTAAGCTTGAGAGCAAGATTGACAGCTTGGCTGACACGCAGGCTGAGCAGGAGGCCAGGATCGACCACCTCGAGCAGGAGATCAAGAACCTCCACCAGCTTCTGGGGAATATCAAGCGTGAGAAGCCGATTCCTCCTGTGGCTACTTCTTCCTCTTTCGATCGTGATGTTGATGCATGTATACTCATCCTGCGCACGAAGCTGTCCAGCACCAGGGCTGCCATCAAGTCGTCCATCAGTGCTTGGCTTCAGAGAGCTCAGCTCGACGAGGGTGACGTGGAGTGGGAGGGTGATGAGACATCCAACAGGCACGTTCTTCGCGTCAAAGGAGCTAGACTGTACGCTGCTCGAAAAGTTCAGCAAGCTATCGGAGCCCTTCGCCTTCCTAACAATTCGTGGGAACGATTCAAGGTGGCTGCAGTTTCTTGTGAGGATCAGGAACTCTTTATTTCACCTGATAAGAATCAGGCCCAGGTCAAGCGGGAATTGGGCATCAAGCATGTTCGTCGTGAGCTCGAGCTTCACTACCCGTCTCTCAAATTCTTCAGTGACAAAACCAAGGGAGAAGTGTCCACGCAGTGGAAACCGTTGGTCAGAGTTGAACCCCTTCCAGGAGATGCTCTTCCTCGGTTCGAGTTCGCGATGGAAAATTTGCGTGCCTTCTCGATCGATAAGGACACCATCCTCTCGGGCGTCAAGGCGAATTACCGCCAGCAGTCGGACACGCAATGGTCTATTTAGCCCGCTGTTTTCTCAATGGAAGACACCCGCAGGCACGCCAGCCAAGTTGAGATTTGTGACGTGGAACGCTATGGCCCTGTTCCATTTCAAGTCTCATACTCGCTCGGCGAAGCTATCCCGTGTCCGTGCGCTGTGGCAGGCAGGCAGCATTGTCGCGCTGCAGGAGACTCATGGCACGATGCCAGAGGTGCGCGACTTCCTCTACCACTCTTGCAACCACTTCTCTGCCGTCGTCTCCTTCTGCTCGTCTCGTCGTGCTGGTGGTCTTGTCACGCTCATCCCCAACTTTAACAAGTATGCTTTCTCCTCTTCATCACTACGTCCTGCTATTACTCGTAATGTCATTGTTCCTGGGCGAGCCTTAGAAGTTATGGTTCGGTTTTCTTCGGAGATCTGGATTAGTCACTTCAACTTACACCTACATGGTCTATCGGTCGGAGAGCGTCGTCACATTGCTGAGGTGCTTCGTGATCGTCTGTCCGACTCCTACCTCTTCCCTACCTCTAGGCTTGTGGTCGTTGCTGGCGATTTGAACCTCGCGGAGAAGGCTCCGCGGCTCTTGGATGCGGTCCCATGTCCTGACCCGACTGCCGCTGCCCATGAGTGGAGACCCACCCGAGACCCCATCTTGAGCCCCATCTCCGGAGAAATGCTAGACGTGAATACCCCATCTCCTACTCACCACAACAAGAGTCTAAACACCCTGAACACCATTGATCACATCCTCATTTCGTTCCCCAGCTGGGTCTGCACTCAACTCTTTTTTAGCGGCAAGGTTACGGAGTACCCCGAGGTTCTGCTCGGGAAGGGCATCTCGGACCACGCTCCGCTAGTGATCGAGCTATCCTGCAGCCCCCCGATACCTCCTGGGCAGCGTCCTATCCCGCGGGATGTTTTTCGGCAAGAAGAATACCGAAGTTATCTTCGTAAGGTTTTCGACCAGACTGATATGAGTAAATTCTCTCCGGGGCTCTTGCTGAGCTTCAACGAGAAAATGATGAGGGAGGCTGCAGAATATGCTAGGAACGCCATGGTTGTGAAGCGCCCTGAGTCGTTACCCACCCGTTTCATGATCATGAAATCGATCTGTCGCGCTGTATGGCGTCAAGATATTCGTCTAGCTCAACGACTTAGGTGCGCTCATATTTTGGCGAGGCACTATCTTGAGATTGACCTCTTGGGAGGGCAGGTCATTCTCCTGCACGGGTTTGAATTTTTGCAGGCCTCCAACGAGCTCCACCGATCGATGTCAGAACGGGAACAGCAAGACGTACGCCAACAAATCCAGCGGAACCCTGATGCTCGTGCTACGGTGAAGCTCCGAAGGAGGTTGAAAGGCCTTGTCTCTCGAAGTCGGCTGTGGAGTCCGTTCGACCGCCGACTCGCACTGCGGGGAGTCTCTGTGGCTGGAGGGGTCGTCACAGAGCCTGGCGCGATGACCGCAGCTCTTGCTGAACATTGGCGCCCTGTGTTCGAGAAAAAGAATATTGCCCGACAGCATGCTGAGCGTTACCTTCAGGAGTTCGGACCTCGTGCTGAGTTGCGCGATCTTCCTCCACCCACTCTTCGAGGCCTTCAGAGATACCTTGAGAACCTTCCTCATTCGGCTCCTGGGCCCGACGGGCTCCCCTTCGCGGCGTGGCAGTGTCACCCCTTTGGCTTTCAAGTTCTCGATAAAGTCCTCCGGTGGATCCTTGCTGGCAACACCCCCTTAACAAGCTACAACGACCTCCGGAAGGTCTTCATACCCAAGGGCTCGGAGGAGGGGGACGATACGGCGGTTATTAGGAGCGGTTCTCAGACAAGGCCTCTTGGGCTCAAAAATACGTCAAACAAAATCCTGACGGGTCTGGTCATAAAGGAGCTAGGTCGGGTCCTGCACACGTTTATCCACAAGATCCAGAGAGGCTTCGTAGGTGGGCGTAACTTTGGGGCCAACATCTTAGAGCTAGATACGTTCTCGCGCATCTACAGCATCCCCACGAATGCGGACATTCTGAGTCACGGCCCCATGCACGTGGACTGTAGCCAGTTCTCAAAACAGCGCGGGCTTCTTACTAGGCTACCGTCATTGGTGGCTTTCGACTACGGCCAAGCCTTCCCATCGATCGCTCATGAGTGGTTGCTGCTCTGCCTTCGGTGTCTTCATCTTCCTGAACCCCTTCAGCATTATCTACGCTGTCTGTACCAGAATGTGAGGTGCTACGTCCTTGCTGGCAATCACCTCGTCTTCGCCTTCCTGATCGAGAGCGGGATCATTCAAGGCTGCCCCGCGTCGGTCCTGATCTATGCGATTTCGTCACACGCCTTCCTGACAGACATGTACAATGTGCTGGAGCCCCGCGCTCGTGGTATCGCCAGAGCCTGTGCAGATGATGTTGGTGCTGCTCTTCGTGCTCTGGTTCATCTTCGTCGGCTGAAGCGCATTTTCGATCTGAGCCGAAAGCTAGCCGGCCTGGCCTTAAAGGTCAGCAAGTGTGTTATTGTGCCGCTTGGCGGCCCGTGCACTCCTGAGCTCATTCAGCTGTATAAAGACTGGCTGGTCGCCAACATTCCCGAATGGGGGGCCTTCCAAGTCGTGCCGTTCTTGACTTACCTTGGGATTGTTTTTGGTCCGAGTGTTGTGGATGAAGTTTGGAAGGCCCCCATTGAGAAATGGCATCGCCGTGGCTGCGAAATTGCTCGTGCGAGATCGCCGACTGCGATCACTCAGTATCTCTACAGTAAGCGTGCTGTGCCCACGCTTAGCTATGTTTCGCAATTCGTGCCCCTCCCAGTGAAGGATTTTAGGCTCGCGTTGAAAGAGCATGCCCTCTTGGCTGCCCTCTTTCGGTTGCCGCACTGTGCTCTGTCCCGCGGCGAGTTTTTTTCTTGGGGTGAGTGGGGTGGCCCTCGGATCCCGAGCGTTGAGATAACTGCGCGTGCTGCGCTGATGAGAACCGCGCTTCACACTCTTCCCGAATGGAGAAATCTGTACCAGCTGTTGTACAGCGCTTCGCGTAGGCACTTTACTCTGGACGATATCGGTCGGGGCAAATTATACCCTGATCACTGGCTGAGCCCTCCGCTGGTCTCAAACTTAAGGAATGCTGCTGCGGGATATGTTGGCGACCCAACGTTTAGTGCTCCTGGCCGTTCTGCCTTGCGAGTAGCCCGAGATGTGATAGCTGAAAGCAGTGCCCTTGGGAAGAGGCCGAAGCTCCAGCGGGCCATCGCCGAGAGCTTGCGAACCTCTGTCTTTCCTGATTTGTTTCCTACCACGCTATCACGTCGCTTAGGATCTTGGTACCCAGCCCTTTCAGATAAGATCTCGACTATCGATTGGGGTCTAATTCGGAACGTCCTCCGCAAGTCAACGATCAGTTTTAGTTCAGCTGTAATGAAAACTTTAACGGGCTCGTGGATAACGTCCATGCGGCTCCATGACTCTGTATCCTCTGGGTGCGTCTTTGGATGTGGGGGCCCCGACACATACTTACACTACTGGGCCCACTGTCCTCGATGCCTCGAATGTCTGCATATCTTATCCCAGCATTCTCTTCCTGTGTGTCCTCTCGAGCGTTACGGTGTGTGTTCCTCGTCTCCCTCCCAATCCACTCTCGAGCCCTGTGCTGCCGCTCTGCTCCTATATAACTCTGCTGTTGCATCGGCACCCTCAGGCCAAACTTTATCCGCCGAGGCCTGCCTCGAATTGCTTCCGCAGGTCCGTTCGGCCCTCGCGCGAATGCGATTAGCCAGCAGCTGAGCTTGAACTTCGAGGACCCGCGCTTCCCTCGGCGACGCTCCAGGAGGAGGAGGAAGAGGAGGAGGAGGGGGAGGAGGGGGAGGAAGAGGAGGAGGAGGAGGAGGAGGAGGAGGAGGAGGAGGAGGAGAAGGTGGCCTCCGCTGTACATCGGACCACTGGGACCAGCGGCGGGCCACCTCGGGTCGACGGGGTCCACGGTGCCTCGCCGAGCTGGAGGCCGGAGAGGTCTCCAGCTGGGCGCCGGCAGCGCAGGGGTGGCGGGAAACACCACCAGGGCCCCGTGCCTGGCTCCTGCCAGAGCGGTGCCGACACGAGGAGGGAAGGGATCCTCCCCCTCCTCCTCTTCCTCCTCCTCCTCCTCCTCCTCCTCCTCCTCCTCCCCCTCCTTCTCCCCCTCCTCCCCCTCCTCCCCCTCCTCCTCCTCCTCCTCTTCCTCCTCCTCCTCCTCCTCCTCCTTCCCCCCCTCCCCCTCCCCCTCCCCCTCCTCGTCCTCCTCCTTGCCTCGGGGGGGAGCTTCGACCCCAACCGCCCAGTCTTCGCCGATCGGAGCTCGGGGGCAGCCACTCCTTGCCCGGGAAGACGCTGGGCTTCTCCGCCTGCGGCCCCTCGTCGCACTGGCGTCAAGTCGGGCCTGTCCCCCTACAGGGGGACTGTTCAACAATAGTCCAAAAATAGTTTTTTTTGTTTTGGTATGTTTTGGGGCATTTTGGGAGCATGTTTGGAGGATTTGTTATTTTTTCGTCCAAGATCCCCCCTGTAGGGGGACAGGCCCGACCTAAGATTGGCGCTGGGTCGCCAACGGAAGCGGGAAGGGGATCCCCCCCTCCCTTGCGCCCCCCCGTCCTCTTGGCATTGGGGGCAGCGCGTCCTGGACCCTTGGCTTGGCATCGCTCGGACGTGTGCATGTTTCTTTCGGCGAGGACCATCGAGGAGCATCCTTGATCATTTGGCGAAACAGCCACGCACGAAACCGAAAACAACACAGGGAATGGACGTCCGAGCGATGGCGAGTGGGGCCTTCCCCCCGGACGAGTTGAGCTCAGGCAGGTCGAGCGAAGCCCGCTGGAAGCTCTCGGGGTGGCGAGCGGGCCCCCGGCGGCACCTCTGGCGCCGCCCCTCCGCGCCCCAGGGAGAGGGGCCAGGCGCCGACTCCAGAAGTCCACGCGGAGCTGCGAGAGCTTAGGTTAGTGTAGTTTTCGTAGGGGGCCACATGCGAGCCCTACCCCACGATTTCTGAGGGGGAGGGTGGGGTTCACTTCGTTCGGGAGCTCTCGATCGAAGTGAACCCCACCCTCCCCCTCAGAAGTCGTGGGGGGTAGGGGTAGGGTTCGCATGTGGTCCCCTATTTTGGTTGTTCTTCTCAGGGACGGAGCGAGCAGAGGTAGGAGCGAGCGGATCGTCCCCGGCCGTCATCGGTTCGCTCGCCCGAGTTGCTCTTCAAGCGACTGGGTCGTGTGCCGCCTGGGGCCGCGTCACAGGCATAGCTACACAGCAGCAGCCATACCATGTTTTGACTTGGGTTCACCTTCAGGTCGTGCAGACCGCACACGCAGGCAATTTACTCTAAGAGTTCTGCACACTGCCACGCGGCATTCGAATTCGCAGTATGCTGATGCAGCCCCCCGCCAGATCCGCTAGTCAATCGACGGGAGTTCCGGTGGTGATACGTTCGGTTGTTGTGTCGACGTCGACCAGTTGCTCCGCCGGAGTGCGCCCAGAATGTTGTGCGGCGCGAGCCCATGGAGTGCTGTCTAGACGTCAACCACTGCTTCGCCAGAGTGCGCCCAGAATGTTGCAAGGCGCGTGCACGCGAAGTGCCCCGTGCCTGGGCGCTTCGCTAGTGTAGGCTGGCGATTCAGTAATTCTGGGAGGGGGTCTTGGGCACAGGAGGAGGGCGACAACGACGAGGACGAGCAGCAGCAGCAGCAGCACCAGCAGCAGCAGCAGCACAGACGTCCGCCGCCATGGTTTTTGTTCACAACGCGGCCCCCCAGAGGCCTGGACCCCTTTCTTTGGGACCGGCTTCCCATCCCGAGCAGTGTTTGCTGACGACCCCAGGGGCCTGGCAAGGGTCTCCGAAGTCCGACGATGGCGAACAACCTTCCGTTCTAGTTGTTTTGACGTCGCGGGGATGTCTCTAGAATTCCCAGATGGGGTCGGAGTCTTTGGGGTCGGAGGATCGTGCCGCATCGCCGATGCGGCTTGATGCGGATCCCGTTTTTCTCCGCGCCAGTGTCACCGATGCATCGCCGACCTCGGCGATGCATCGCCGATGCATCGCCGATGTGTGGTCGATGCGGCGCAATCCTTCGACC